ATTCTACACCAGTGGAGAGAGTAAGAAACACTGAGATGTCTGTGGCGGAGGAAACACATAAAATCTAGGATGAAATTGTCCCCATATGAAAGCCTTCACTTGGGTGGTGAGCAGTATGGTATTTGTGGAGGACATTGACAGGGCTCTTGGACATGTTCATGGTGCTCTCTATAACCTGCAATGCCACTAGAGGGAGGGCCATTGGTGTCTCCTGAGTGGTGGGCGCTATAGTATGTGGAGGCAGGAGTGGGACAACCCAGCCACACACACATACATATTTTCACTTTTATTATTTGTTTAGACTACCATGTCGTATCCTGCCTCTAGCCATGAGAGGTAGGTGATAATAATAATAATAATAATAGTAATAATAATAATAAATTAGCTGCCTCTCCCTGTGGTTTGAGACAGGATAAAACATGGTCAAAACAGACAAATACAGCACCATTAAACTGCATGTTTCAAAATACACACAACAAAGCCCAACAGCGATATCAATTAAATGCAGGTTGACACTCACAATTCTAAACTTCTACATGAGTATATGTATATGGTCATCATTCCACATTTGGATTTTTAATTTTGGTTTGATTATTCACATGTCCTTTATTTGAAGCTTTTCACTTTCATAAGGGGTCCTGTGCCCCTAACTCCAGTTATTATGGACGGCTGACGGTAGATATAATTCCACCAAAATGCAAGCAATGTAATGCAAATGTTATACTGTTATATGTGCATGTATTTCATTCTAAAACCTGAATATTTACCAATTTGCAAATGAAGCAATTCCTTAAACTGGCAACAGTTGGGCTTAGGAATGTGGGACCGGGGGTCTGCCTTATAATGCTGTTCTTCTGGACAGTTTGGCCATCTGTTTTAAAAGAGCTGAAGCAATCCTAAGGCAGTTTTGCCTCTTCAGCTGTCATGGACTCACACAGCTGTTCTGAAAAATCCCCATTTATAAAAAGCAGTGTGGTTATGGAACACATTGAGAGGTAGCTGTGCTGGTCATAGAACCAACAATAATAAAATCCATGAAAAAACCAATTACATCCCATAGAAGCATGCCTGGAGGATCTAGGAAAATCCTAGAAAGGAGCATAGGTGCATCTACACTGTAGAATTAATGCAGTTTGACACCTCTTTGACTGACATGGCTTAGTGCTATGGAATCCCCAGAGTTGTCATTTGGTGAGACAACAGCACTCTTTGGCAGAGGGGGCAAAAGACCTTGCGAAACTACAGTTTCCATGATCTCATAGCATTGAGCTGTTAAAGGGACACCAACCTGGATTAACTCTGTCCTCCACTGTAAGGATCTTCCATCAGAATAATAATAATAATAATAATAATAATAATAATAATAATAATATACTTTATTTATATTCCATTCTATCTCTCCGAGGGGACTCGGAGCGGATTATAGAATACATATATGGCAAACATTCAATGCCGTTATACCATTAACAAAGACAGACTATACAGAGAAAGAGGCAAGGCTTCCCTCTGTTTCATGTCTGGCATCTGGAGGCTGTGCTTGACGTGGCCATGGGGAGGTGCTGTTGTTCCATTTTTCCATGCTGAGAAGCCTGTTGTCCACGGATGCTTTCCTGATCGAATTGCCGGCATGTTTTCAGAGGCACCCTTTACCACCCCGCCAAAGTGGTACCTATTTATATACTCACATTGCTGTTTTCGAACTGCTAAGTAAGCAGGAAGCTAGGGTTGACGGTGGGAGTTCAACCCGTCTCGCGGTTTGAACTGCCAACTTTCCAGTCCGCAATATTTTTTGTAGCTGGTGGTTTCTGTAGCTGTGCTAACCTCAGCCCCTATTTGAGTCCCCAAACATTCCTTGCAAAGTCTGAGCAGGAACATCTTGCTGAAATGTAGCTTGGTTTTCTCCAAACATCCTTTGTTTAGGAAATGCACCCCCATGCCTCCAGCAGGAAAGCGCTTTCCTGTCCCCCATGACACAACAAGGGCTTCAAAAACAGCCTGGCAATAGGGGAGCATCGGGTTTCCAAAGCTGTTGATGCTGCTGATGGACGGTTGGAGTCGCCTTGGGCTCCATATAAATTACTGGTATCTCTTGACACCAACTGGCTACTGAGATGCTTTGCCCCCCCCCCACCTTCCCCGCTTTCCTCCTTTCTCAGGATCAAGGTGCACCTACACTGTAGAAGTAATGCAATTTGATATCACTTTCACTGACATGGTTCAGTGCTATGAAATCCTGGAATCTGTGGTACGGTCAGGACCGGTCCTCTTTGGCAGAGAAAGCTAAAGACCTTGTCAAACTATTAATTATAGCATTTCCTAGCATTGAGCCATGGTAGCTGCAGCATTCATTCTACAGTAGGTGCAAGAGCATGACCCACTTGGACATCTCCAGTGTTTCGCAGTGTCTTCAGCAACCCAGTGGCACCAAATCCTGTCTGATCTTGGGCTGTGTCCACACTACAGAGTTAATACAGTTTGAAACCACATTAATTTCCATGACTCAGTGTTACAGAAGAGAAGCTGGAGCTCATCTAGGAATTGATACGGAGGCATTTTCCTCCAACACAACTCTGTATTATCTGTGGACCAGAGGTCCTTCAGTGTAACCGGGTTTGCTATTATGGCTTCACTTGTCTATGCAAAACCTGGTAATGTCTTCCCTGCATATAGGGAGTCATCCTATAGCTCAGTGTTTCTCAACCTGGGGGTTGGGAACCCGGGGGGGGGGGGGGGGGGGGGGTAATGAGCGGGTGTCAGAGGAGTCGCCAAAGACCTTCAGAAAACACAGTATTTTCTATTGGTCATGGGGGTTCTGTGTGGGAAGTTTGGCCCAATTTTATTGTTTGTGGAGTTCAGAATGCTCTTTGATTATAGGTGAACTATAAATTCCAGCAACCACAACTTCCAAATATCAAGGTCTATTTCCCTCAAACTCCACCAGTGTTCATATTTGGGCATATTGAGTATTCATGCCAAGTTTGGTCCAGAGCCATCATTGTTTGAGTCCACAGTGCTCTCTGGATGTAGGTGAACTACAACTCCAAAACTCAAGATCAATTCCCACCAGAGCCTTCAAGTATTTTCTGTGATCATGGGAGTTCTGTGTGCCAAGTTTGGTTCAATTCTATCATTGGTGGAGTTCAGAATATTCTTTGATTATAGGTTAACTATAAATCCCAAGTGACAAAATCAATCCCCTCCCCAACCCCACCAGTATTCAGATTTGGGCATATTGGGTATTTGTGCTATATTTGGTCCAATGAATGAAAATGCACCCTGCATATCAGATATTTACATTACAATTCATAACAGGAGCAAAATGACAGTTATGAAGTAGCAATGAAAATAATGTTATGGTTGAGGGGTCACCGCAACATGGGGAACTGTATTAAGGGGTCGCGTCATTAAGAAGGTTGAAAACCACTGCTATAGCTGCAGCTCATTTTTTTTTTAATTTTTTGCAGAGCTTCTAGCAATGTTTTGCAAAATGGTTGTGTTCTGGGCATGTCATGTTGAGAAATAACGGGGTCCAGGTTTGGGTCCGAAGACCTCCTACTCTGTTCCCACATGCGTTGCCAGCCCCTACTCTCTCTCTCTCTCTCTCTCTCTCTCTCTCTCACGCACTTCAGCTTGCCCTCCATTCATCACATCGGTTAAACTGCAGGCTGAGGAGGAGAGCAGGCCATCCAGAGAGCCAGATTTGGTTACTCGGGAATGCCATGGGCCGGATCTTTTACACACAGCGGCTAGAGGCAAATAAAGCAGTTACTGTGCTGCCCTCAGGGGGAAACGTTTGATGGGTACAATATCGCCGGGAGATAAAACACGCCAAACAATTAGATGTGAGAGATTAGAGGCCCCAAGGGGAGTGGATCCTCAACCCAACTCCGATTTCCCTGCTTTGGAAGCAGCTCTCAATAGCCCTCCGTTGTAATGGGACGGAGGGTGGGGACCGAGCTGTTGCTGATGTGCGTGAGCTCTCTGTATTTTGGTACATCTGGGAAAGAGCTGCCTAACTTTTAACAGCAGGTTTCAAAACAGGACCTCCCATTCACAAGTCCCTTAAGCATTGATTTGAGTGTTTGACAAATCCATCTGGGTAGCTATTAGTGTGTTGTTGTGACAAGAACAGGGAAAGAACCTTGTGGCATCTCGAAGGCAGATTTGACAAGATGTGTCTCAACTGCAAAAACTAAGCCAAAGTATGTGAAACCTTTGGAGCTGTGGAAACAGAGCTCACGGGCTATTCAGGTTCCAGAATTTATTTCTTCATTTTATTAGCAAGGAAAATAATAATGTTGTCACCAGGCACCTGCTGTTCCCCCTGAATGTAAATGTTATCTAGGTAGGCAAAGGATGACGTGGAGGCTTCATAAGGACCTCCAAGGCTGTTTTGTGATGGGTAGATTTGCAAACCTCATCATCATTTCTTTCTGAAAGTATTTGTGAGTGCCAGTTCAGCTTTTGAATAGGTTGCAAGGCACCTCATTGCATTCTTTAACATAAATAGGCTAGAGGAGGTATTTTCGCTGCCTTTGTGACAGAGAAGCTTGATCTGGTCCAAGACTCTTGATTCATTACAACAACAGGTTCATATATGTTCATGAAACAAGGTTTTATATGATACACCAATTGTTGCCTTTCTGTCTGATGATATGGCTTATAAGATACTTCTGGTTAATGAGCTTCATGAAGATAATCCTTGGAAAGGTTGCAGAAGAATCAACATCTGTACTTGGCTCTCCACTTGATTTATTTTTTTTACCAGCAATGGAGAACCAAGACCCTTTGGATTAAATCTGATGTATCAAACAGGGAAACTAATCCCTGTTTTTATAAAATGCTGGAGCTTGGAAAGATCTTTGTTTGCACAATAATTCCAAGAATAGATACTGGCTGGAATATTAGTTCCAAAAATGTGTTTTCCACCATGCCATTTACTTTAGCAAGCTTTGAGAACTTCTGGTCTGATGTCTTTTCTTTTTCCTTTTGTGCTACAGCCCTAAAGAGGTCCTTCGATGTAGAAGATGGAGAAGAGGAGCCAGAGTTTTCCCCTTCCTCTCCACCACATTCCCCCTTGAATCCCATCTCACCTGGAGTCCTCCTGACCCCTGGCAATGGAGAGGGGAGGAGAGCTGGGGGTCCAATGCTGCCCTCTTACCAGACTCGCGTCGGCTTGGGCTCCAGCCCAGCTCAGAACCCCAACCCCAAGGCACGGATCAGTGGCAGCCTCTCTTTCAACAGGGGCACCATGCAGCCTCCTCGAGCCAATGGGACAAACCTCACCAGGGTCTCCTCCTTCCAGACACAGCTCAACCCCAATGGCTTCTCATCATCCTTGGGGCCTGGAAGTGACAACGAGAGCCTGCATAGCTCATCTTCCAGCTTGGAGTGCCCGATACCCATCAAAGGATCTCAGAATATGGCTCCACAATTGCAGTTACCCACATCATCTGCTACCCAGCTTTCCAGTCACATCCTGAAGAAGTTCTCCTCCCATGGCAACGTCTTCCATGCCGAGGTGGACCAGCCCATCCAAGAGATCTCCAAAGCTGCTGTGAATCACAGCTCATTGCCCTCGCTGGACCTGCACATTGCCGAGGAACAGGGAATCAGCCTCCCTCTTTGCTCTACTCCAAAACCTGATGCCACAAAGAGCTACAGGGACCAGAACTGTACCTCACCTCCACCAAAGAACAACACATTCATGAGAAAGGAGGCCTTCATTCCGGCCGTGCAAGCTAGCCAGTTGGCAAACAAGGCTGCTCCTGCTCCAGCCTCTAGGCAGACAGCGAAGTTGCAGAAATTCCCCATCAGCCTTGATGGGTTGATTGGAAAGTCTCCAAATGGTGCTTTCCCTATGGCACCAAAGGCTGATTCTACATTCAAACCTTTGTCTAAGGCAGAGCTCCAGGTCAACCTTGGCCCTAGCCTGAGCATGGCCCAGAAACACCCAGAAGTCATCTGGGGAGATCAAACTGTCACAGGGAGCAGCATTTGCCTGCCACCTTCTTCCAGGAGCCTTCCAGGAGCTCCCTTCCAGCTTGTGTCACATCTCCAAATGCCACAAACCACTTCCCGGCCATCTTCTCATGGAGACCCAGCAACAGGATCTCCACAAGAAGAGCCAGGTCCATCAAGTCCAAGAGAAAGCAGCTATGTTCCGATAGAGAAGGTCAACTCTCCTATCTGCCAAGAAGCCCCCAAACTTCATGTTCTAGTGCCGTCTTCTTGCTCAAGTGAAGATCCCCTCATCAGAGCAAACAAGTCACTGGAGGCTTCTTTGGAGCAGAAGGAACTTCAAGACAAGGAGCCATTAAAGGAAGGTAGGTTGGAATCACTGCTGTCATTTTATCAGGGGCACATTTTGTAACTCCTTTGCAGGTGAAACTTCAGATGTGTTAAAAAAATCCAAAATATTGAACTTGGGAGGTGGAAGAGAACTGTCTACACTGATGGAAAAAAAATGTACACCACATAGCTGCCTTGAAAGCCTGACATGAAAGCCTAAACAAATTACAGTGTATAAGAAGCACTTTCACTGCTAAACAGTTTATACAGTTTAGCAGTGTATTTGATATTTGCTCTTTCACTCACTGATGCTCCCAAACATATTTCTCCCAGAATTGTCTCTAGGTCCTCCAGTGCAGTACTGTGATACGCTTTTCTGGCTGGAGTGTAGCCAAAATATGGAATTTGCTGTTATCCATAGTTTCAGTCTCCAAGGATATAGGAGCTGTATTGTAATCATATGGATTCAGGGAGACCTTAAATGGTCCTTATTGCCTTTACTATTACCTATACTCCTGAAATCCAGATATTAATGGTGGCAAGATATAAGCACAGTTGAGTATAGGAAGGCTTATATGGCCCAACATGACCTATAAGTTTCTCTGTTTCTGAATGTGTTGGTTGAGTGCAGGTAAACATGGCAACCTTTTTAAACTGATACACCCAGGCCCCTTCTGCACTGCTGTATTTCATACTGCAGTTTATGAAACTGTATTATAGGCCATCCCTGAGTTACAAACATCCAATTTTCAATCAACCCATAGTTAAGAACAGGGGTGAGACAACAGGAAGTGAGGAAAGTCTATCACTTGGAAGGGAAATTCACTCTGAAAGAGTTATTATCTGGGGGAAAAGGGGCCTCCACTGAAGCTTTATCCCAATCCTTGTTTCCACAGTAAGCCACATTTTTCTAAATCCAATTATCACAGGGATAGGAAGTGAGGTGGACTCTTCCAAACACAGGCACAGACTGCAATGCAAACATCACATGGGGTGTTAACTCTTCCCTGTGTTACCCAGTGCATGCATCTCTCTCTCTCTCTCTCTCTCTCTCTCTCTCTCTCTCTCTCTCACACACACACACACACACACACAGAGAGGAGTTATACTTAAAATGTACCTGTTCCAACTTCCATATGAATTCAGCTTAAGAACAGACTTACAGAACCTATCTTGTTTGTAACTTGGGGACTTCCTGTATATGGCAGTGCACACTCATATAATGCAGTTAACCTGCATTATAAAACTGTATTATATAGCAGGAGGCTTCCAGGAGCAGAAATTCACCTCACCCTCTGGCCAGGGAAAGGTCATCATGAGAACTTCAGGAGATATCAAGGGCCACAAAAATGTTATTGAGGAGAGGGGGAGAGAGAGAAACACAAGGATAGTCTGTTCTCTTTTGGAGCCCCGCTCCTTTGCTTCAAGCCATTCCTTTTTAATTTGCCATTGCATTTCACAGCATATAAAGCCCTCCAAAAGCTGGGGAACTTATGAAAGCTGTCACTAGAATGAGCCTCACCCAAGTCAGGGAAGATAATAAGGCCGCGAGACTTGTGCAATGCTGCCTTATTATCCCTTCCCTGTTCCTCATCCGAGGCAATAATTGCTGCTGGAAAGAGATCAACAGCATGGCTTTATAGCCTTTCCACCTAAATGTAGGTGGAATCTCTTTTCTTGCCGCTTGAATCCTCTGGTTGGTGTTTTGGTCTCTGGAACATTAGAAGCCAAACTAGCTCCATCTTCTTCATGACATCCAGATATTGAAAGATGGCCACAGGCTGAGCATTAATGACCTAGAATCCCAAAATACTCCAGAATCCAAAAGTGTTCATCTGAGATTGTGGCACCTTTGCTTTCTTGATGGTTCAATGTACCTAAACCTGGTTTCATGCATGGCATCATTACAAATTTATCTATATCCATAATAAAAGTGAACATACATATGTATGTGTGTGGCTGGGGTGTCCACTTCCACAAACAGCTTTAACCCACAGGGCTGAGGAGCCACCAAAAGCCCTCCCTCCAGTGACATTTCAGGTTATAGTGAGCACCATGAACATGTAGCCCAACCCCTGCCAATGTCCTCCCCAAACATGATACTGCCCACCACCCAAGTGAAGGCTTTTATTCAGAGATAATTTCTTCCTTGATTTAATGTATTTCCTCCACCACAGGCATCCCAGTGTTTCTTACTCTCTCCATTGCTGTGGAATTTGCATGATCCCGCTCACTGCTTCTCCCTTAACCCTTTCCTACTGTTTTTAATTCTGTCTGCACAACAGAGCAGAATTAATCAGCAACTAAACTTACTGGAGGAGTTTAGGGGATTAACTCCACATGATGGAAGTTGTAGTTCACCTTGCATCAAGTCAGAGCACTGTGACCCCCACTGACAATTGACCTGGACCACATTTGGCACACAGGACCCCCATGAACAAAGAAAAATACTGGAGAGGTTTGGGGGGAATTCACCTTGATAGCCATTGTAGGTACTGGGATTTATAGTCCGCCTGCAATCAAAGAGCACTCTGGACCCCACCAGTGATGGCCCTGACCTAACTTAGCACACAGAACCCTCATGACCAATCAGAGTGCAGGAAGGCTTGGGGGAAATTCACCTTGATTTATAGGCATTATTGTTCACCTACATCCAGAGAGCACTGTCAATGTAAACAACAATGGCTCTGCACCAAATTTGACATGTATATCCAATATGCCAAAATTTGTATATTGGTGGGTCTTGGGGGGAATTGTCCTTGACATTTATTAGTTGTAGGTAGTGGGATTTATAGTTCACCTTCAATCAAAAAGCACTATGCACTCCAATGATGATGGACCTGGACCTAACTTGGCACACAGAGCCCCCATGACCAATTGAACCTACTGGAGGGATTTGACGGGACTGACCCACCCTAGTGAGAGTTGTAATTCATCCTGCAGCCAGAGAGCACACTGAACCACACTGGTGATGCATCTAAAGCAAACTTGCCCAACATGACAAACTTTAAGTACTTATGGAGTTTCAGGGCATGATGTGAGTTGTAACCTGGAATGATGTGAGTTGTAGTTCACCCACAACCTTATACATTTTGTAAAATAAAAAAGCCGAATTCTTCTAATAACCCTGGCAACACTGGATAACCAAGCCAGTATTGTATAAAATTACCTTCAGGCTATGTGCATAAGGGATATATGAAAGAAATTAATTTCATAATTAGTCTCATCTCATAGATATCTATGAGATATCTATATCTGTGTCTATTGATCCATCAATGTGTTTAAGTATCCCTTTATCTGTTTATTTTTCCATGCAAATACAAGCATTCCACAATTCGGGGGGGGGGGGGGATCAATATCCGAAATGCTGTTGGTCTAAAACATTTTGGGTCAGGGATATTCAATTTGTTTTGTGCTGGCTTCTCTTCTCCAAGCTAAACGTACTCAACACATTCAAAGTCATTCTTCAGAAGCCTTTGCCATTGGGAAACAGCAGTCCTCTTGATCGTAACTATCTTTGCCCACGAGGGATGGGTTGGGATGAAAAAAAAATGTTTTCAGCAGATTCTGAAATGGCTGGGCTGTCGTTTTCAAGTCTAACACAACACTTTTGTACCCATGCCAACCACAGCTATTATTATTTGGGGGAGGGGGTGTTTTTCTTCTGTCTTCTCCTAAGCCCTCTCCCCCGTTTCCGTGACTTCCCTTGTTCCTTTGGCTTTGGGACAAACTCTGAAGTCTTTTTGGCAGCGTTTTTGGCTTCCCACCCTGACTGTCCTGTACTCTACCCTGCAATAAGAGGGGTGGGGGTGGGGGTGGCGGCAAGGGTCCAAAGTGTTTTTTTTTAAAAAAGAGAGGTTTTCACACCTACCTAAGCAATAGGAGGAAGGAACAGCTGTGTAATCACTCAAGGTGAGGTGGGCGTTGGGAGCGGTAAGAGAGGAATTCTGTCCTCTCCCGAAAATCGACTCTTGCAGACACGTTCCCTGTGTCGACGACCGAGACAGGCCCACCCACAATAAAAACCTGCGATGAAAACGACCTTCCCTTTTAGGGCTCTCTCTCACTTTGCGTTGCCAGTTCAGGCCCTGAGATTGTGAAATGTCAGACAAAAACTGGAGACATACAAATGGTTGCAGTGATGTCAGTAAGCATTGTGCATTCCGTTGCTTGCAGCTTGAATTGTAGAATCATCATTATCACCCTCACATTTAATTTATTACCTGCCTCTCCCTGTAGCTCGAGGCGGGATACAGCATCATTAAAACAAGAGTCAAAACACTATTAAAAGACATGCAACAAGATACACAGAGTTAAAGTAAAGGTTTCCCCTGACATTAAGTCAAGTCATGTCCGACTCTGGGGGGTGGTGCTCATTGCCGTTTCTAAGCCAAAGAGACAGCGTTGTCTGTAGACACCTCCAAGGTCATATGGCCAGCATGACTGCATGGAGCACTGTTCCCTTCCTACCAAGTCGATACCTATTGATCTACTCACACTTGCATGTTTTCGAACTGTTAGATTGGCAGAAGCTGAGGCTAACAGCAGGAGTTCACCCCGCTCCCCGGATTCGAACCGCCAACCTTTCTGTCAGCAAGTTAAGCAGCTCAGTGATTTAATGCATTGTGCGACTCGAGGCTCCCCCACAAAGTTAAAATACAAGTTAAGATCCAGTGATAAAATGCATATTAAAATTCCAGGGGTGATATGCTCACTCCTGGATGTTTTTGTGACCAATCTAGCTGCTGTGTTTTTGAACTTGGTACAGAGGGAGCCCAATATAAAGTGCATCACAGATGTCCAACCTTGAGGTTGCCAGTGCAGAGACTACCATCTTTAGGTTCGTGGATTCTTTGAAGGGGCGCAGCTGGCGCATTAGCCAAAGCGCTCCTCACAGTTGCATCTCCCTGGCCTAGTCTTTGGAGAGACAGATCCAGGAATGCGCCATACTCCCATAAGGTTGGAAGAGGCCCCCAAGGGCCATCCACTTCAACCTCATTCTGCCATACAGGAATATACAACAAAGCACTCCCGA